TAAAACCCATTTTAATTATTTGTTTCTCACTATTTGCTTCTTTACAAAACTTATCGTTTTAGCTTGAAATTGATCTTATAAAAATAAAGTGTAATAATTGGTCTCTGTGGATTCGATCCTTAAGTGTTACATCGACATACCATTCGATTGTGGTAGTGTGCACATTAGGTTAATTGGTGTGCGTTCGCACGAAACATCACATGGCATTATAAGAATTGATAAAAATATACCTTATATATATAGATAAAATATGACTATTCATCTTTGTCTCTTCATGCTCGGTATAGTGACCGAAATATAATTGGCTAAAAAAGGTAATTATACCAATGTATAAATTGTAATTTTTTTCTGTTTTTCACTTTATTTATGCGAAAGTATGGAGATAACTTTTTTTACAATATAAAAAACTATATAAAAAGAAAACGACAACAACAAAAATTAATATAATAAGATATAAGAAATGCGAAATTAAACATAACAAGATAAATAAACATTGATTTCATAATATAATAAAGACTAACGATATCATATGCAAATAAATGTATATACGTCATGAATTTCAAAAAAAAAATATAATTTGATACTGATTTAAAAATAAAGTTTGATACTAAAAATTAAGAAGAACACATTCCCCTTGAATATCTTAACCATCTGATTAAATTCAACATCAAATCATTTTAACCAAAAATTTAAGAAAATAAAAAAGATAATCATGAAAATAATAATTAAAGCCACATATATAATTATATCTTTCTGAATAAAAACATTTGTTAAACCAAATACACCTATTTACCAACCCCTAGTAAGTAAATGTAATTCATTTGACTTGCATGTTTCTTGAAAATAAAATTAAAATTTAAAGGTGTTAAAGATATACATTCTATTTTAATATTCTAGAATTATCTTTTCAGAATAGTGTAATGCAGATTCAAGAGAAAATATAAAAAGGTGATAGTGTAGAAAAGTTAAAAAAACAATAGTAGCTGGATTATGTACGACTCACTACCGGACGAACATACGTTTCAAGAGCTGGTCCTGTGCAAGATTCGCAAGATAAGCAAGTCCAAGGACGACGATGAAGCCATGGAGGAGGTGACACATAACGTAGAAGAAGAAGGAGATTGGATTGGAGATCTCTTTGACAAATTCGCAAGGACTGGATTAGATGACCTACATTAAGTTTTCATGTAGAAACACAAGAAGCGTCAACATGTTCAATTGTATATCATGTGATATAAATTTTTCATCAAACAAAGATAATCCAGTTATACGCTCCATTGTCATCTGCAGTAGACTTCTTCAACTGCTTGAGTATAGTTCCCATTGTTATATCCGATCGTGATGGTTGAAATGATTGAACCAAATCTTTATATCTTTACTTCACATGAATTTCAATTTGCTTTAATGAGATGACAAACACACTGTTTTTGAATTGGAATGTCAATCCGATACATTTGCTAAACCATCAATCAGCGGGGCTTCATAAAACAGAATCTTAGGCCGAACCTTCCTTTCTCCATAGAATCTGATTACACTCTCCCAGTTCCCAACTGCCTGTGGTATCACACCACACAACATACTAACATGTCTCAGTTCACAACTAAACTAACTCAACAAGTACAAAGTAAACTGTTTAGTCTTCTTACCTCTTCTGTAGTAGACGCACCATGTCTGACACCGACCCACCTATCCTTTTCATATGCTAGGCAGATATGTTCTTCGTCTTCACCACAACCAACCTGCATACATTTCCATATTGTGAGACTGTAACAGAGAAAAACACAGAACAAATAATAGGACCCTGTTTCAGACTTTACCATTGACACAAGCCGGTATTTTGTGTTTGGCTCTAAGCCTTCGTATAGCCTGCTCATATCTATCTCCCAGTCCAAAGCCTTTGTTGTTTCAGATATCTCTTTTTCCGTTTCATGCTTCTCCCATTCCAGCACTAGTGTTGCAAACCCACCCACAAAACACCAAACATTTGTTTAATTGAAATGAGTACACAAGATCGCAATCATGGTTAAAATGTACTTACCAACTGTGAATATAGACGGGCATCTACTAATCATGTGATGAACAAAGTTTGCCTTTCCACAGCCTCCTGTTTTAATGTCACATAACATTTTATCTTCCATGCGAATCATTTTAAGGATGTCCTCAAACTTTATATCCCCAAAAGCACACTGTATAACCAATCACACAAAAACAACTTATAAAGTGGTAGTGTACCAATTTTTATAGGAAAGACAAAAAGGGAAATAAATGAAATGTACCTTCAGGTCTCTGATTGAATCTGCAGCCAGAACGATTCCATAAGAACTTTGCTCAGGAAAATTGGGCTTCTGTCTGCATCTGCTACAACTCATTCTTTCATATTCTTCAAGTGTAAAGAGGCGAGTTACCAAGTTCTCTCTTTCTGGACTTTTACAGCTATGCCAAGTCTCAAGGATGGATACAACTATCTCAGCAGTATCACTTGACTGCAAAGAGTTAAAAAAACACAAAGATTACAGTCAAGCCTATTTAATAAAATAATAATACCATGCCTAGAAGCTTATATATATGCACAAACCATGGACAGAACATCTATGGAAGTAAGTAATTCGCTCAGGAGATGGCTGTGGAGTAGCTCAGGATTTTGTTTATCCAAGTCGTCATGAAATGGTTTATCATTTTGCATTAAATCCTCTTTCAGGATCTTAATGTGCAAGAGGGCCTGCATTACCACATGTTTTTTGAGAAGATATCTAAGAGACCACCGACGTAACGAGATATAGAATCAGAACTAGAAGATGAGAGTTTACGTATTACCTTCAGGGTCATGTCAAGAGCTGAACTGCATCTGGCTGCACCTTCTCTAAGTACTGACTTTTCTCCAGACATGTTTTGAATACCTTGAAGATGGCGAATGAAACAAAACAAGATTTATGCAACTTAGCTCGAAGAGGTTTAGAATTTTCTTCTTCAGCAAAGTTCTTTCACAACCTTGAGCAGCTTCCTCTTCAACCACTGTGTTGGATGACATTTCCAACCGATCCCTTTCACTATTATCTGGTGGTTCCATAGAATCTTTTTCCGTCGTTTCTAGTGATGGAGATGTACCTTGGAGATCAAGGTTGACAGAATGTTCACTGGACACGAAAGAGCACGTTTTGTTCGCGCTTAATTCAGAGAGAACCCGAAAACAATTAATCAACATGCAGAACAAGAGACGCTTGAGGTACTTACTGTTCAACAGTCTTATCAAGGGGGATAGACATGCTCGTTGAAGTTCTCTGTTGCATTAAGAAGACCATTCCTTCTTACAATTGAGTAACTGAAAATTCAGAGAAGCAAATAGAGAAAATTAGAGCTTTAAGGACCTTATGTTTCTTCTTCTTTGGCTGTGGTTTTGACTGTGGTTTCTTTTCCTCTTCGAGTAGAAGATCTGCTTCTGCTGCAGCTACGTTTATTACCTCCTAGAGAATAATAAACCAGACATAATATAAGGAACAAGTGACAGACGGTCTGCAACAGAAGGAAGATGAAAAACGAAATTTCAAACCGACCAGCAAGTATTGTTTAAGTGGTCGAAGGATGTAAGAGCGGTAGTCAAAAACAGAAAGTCTAATGAGGTCGTTGAACAAACTAATCCTTGAATTCTCAACCAGCAACATCTTTGTATCGACCAGCGGAACCTGCAAATCAAGAAAACACTTTTAAGATTTAAGTTTTTTTCCTAATGTTAATTAAACACTCTGATCAGGAATGAACCTTATCAGCGACTATTGATTTCAGACGGTCTATGGACTTGAGGACTACATCATCGCTGAGATCTCTATGCACATGTATACGCTTCAGGCAATCTTCTAGATCTGAGAAATCAAATGTAGGATGCGGTGCTTCTTCAAGAGCATCTCGTACTGAACACAAGAATAGTCGTGTACTGAGAGAATCTCTAGCCTTTGTCTTCCTCCTTTCACATTCATCGCCTAGAAGAGATGCAAATCTTCTAAGTCTCTTTTTATTTTCGCTTACACATAAGTTTATGGCGTCAACAAGACCTACATCATAACCTAGAATCTGCAGTTTCTTTGCATATTTGGTTCCCAAAGTCCTGCAAGTGAACTGAACAGCTCTCAAAATAGCCACCCATATATCTAGATTGTGTGTCCTCACAGGTCTTGGAAATCGAAATCTCTCATCATCTCCTCCAGAGGAGTGATCCGCTAACCAAGACACTATATCATCTCCACGGGCATGTGCCTTGGCGTAGTGATCATCAGGGTTCAAGAAACTCACTGTCCCTTCATCATCGAACTGAGCAATCTCACATCGCAGCAGTCTCTTATCCAAAAGCAGAGATGATGGAAACTGCTTGTTGAAGTCTATCTTTTCTTTAACTCGAGCACCACTGTAGAAACTGTCCACTGCTCTGCAAATCAGCTCTCTGCCATCTTTCCTTTCACACTTTACCCGTTTGAGAAGGTCTAGAATCTGTTTAAGCTTACTTCTTTCCAAAAAGCAGATACTCTGAGGTGTTTCCACTAGGCGGCCACACTCTGTAGTAAGAGTATCCTTGGAAACTTCAAACCGTGCCGCGAGATGCTTAACCACAAAGCGCATCACCCAATCCCGAAGACCACAAGAAAGAAGCTTACGCTCACAAAACAACACAAGTAGCAACTGAATCTCCTTGAGTAACTTTTTGCGTTCTTCATCTCTAGCTTGTGGCCAGTCTCTGGACCATCCATTCTCATACACAAACGCTTTAACAAATTCAATCCGAGTCTTGATCATTTCAGCAGCAGCTGATGTATCCACTGGCTCCCAAAGTCCTGCAACTTTTACCATACCAGCCCACGATTCATCTACCACCTGAGCCATATGCTCTGCCCTAGACGGCTTAAACTTTGCAACATGTTCTTTCTCTAGATGAATCTTAAACTTCTTAAGCATTAAGAACTCTTGTGAACAAGATCTACACATCCACAATCTCCACTTTTTGTTACTCACTGCAGAACCGATAACTTTCTCCAAAGCATCTCCTCCCTCTTTGCCATAGAATCTCCGCACATAGCTTGTGAAATCCGAAATTTTTACTTCCATTAACTTCCGTTTGACCTCAACATTCAAACCTAACCAATACGTTCTCAATCCTTCAACCTCAATCTTACTAGAATCTTTACTTTTCTTGGATTCTTTAACTTTCGGTTCCCATAACTGAACAGGAGAACCAGCAGCGATTCTTGACTCAGCAGCTTGAAGTACATTCTCAACGTCAATTCGACTTTTCTCACCATCAGGAGTCAATGAATCAAAAGACGCCATAAAACTCAGATACTCTTTTGCTTTGGCTATAGATTTCTTCAAGTAGAATGTTGATCCAAGAAAATTGCCCAAACCAAAGAGTGAAGCAACACAGAAGGATGATAAGGCATCGTTTTCGGAGAAGCATTCTACAGAGGCAAGCAAGAATGTGAATTTCGCGTCGCTATTGTCTATTCTCTTGGCTTGTTCGTAGAAGATTTGACCTTGCTGGTAACGGAGAGAGTCTAGGACCTCGTGGTTCTTCTTGTGAGTAGAAGAGGTCCAGGTTTCGATGACCTCCAGGGCCTTGATGTGATCTCCTTGGGAGATGTAATCTTTAGAAAGTTGTATGATTTTTTGTGCTTCCTCGTCATCTGTCTCCATGTGGTTTCTCTCTCAAAAGGCTTTCTTGCTGAATACTCTTTTTGTTTTCGAGAGAGAGGTGAGAGAGGGAAAATAGACGGTTAGGTGTGTTCGTTGAAGTGGACCCCACTTTATCACGTGAGAGACACGTAACAAGTGAGGCTTGGAGAGAGAGAGGCCCATTTAGCAAAAGGCATTCTGTCGAGCAGCTTGTGGGCATTCCATTTGCGATTTGATTGCACTTTCTCCCACAAATAAAAACCGCAAAAAAATTGTGAGAAAATATGAATTCGCCGGAGATGGAATTAGCTTCATGTTGGGGATCATGAACACGAGAGTGCAAAAAAAGATTAAAAAAAAATCGTATTGTTTGAGAGCTATACTATAAAATGTGTTGTTTGTGCCCACCAAGTGTTTGTTAAAAATTCACAGTACCATAAGTCCATAACCCACGAGGCAAGGAAACATAAGATCACAACAGCTACAATCAAAATTTGGCGCTCTTTTCATAACGCATACCACGTGACACTCACGTGCACAAACTAACCGACTCTCGCTGATCAAATCCCTCCCTTAGCATTCTTATTCTCTCCAGTTTTTTTCTGTTTCGTTCTTTTTTCTCGAGAAAATCCAGAGAGAAAGTCTTGTGACTAAGAAAGTAAAACGATACAGTTTGGTTTGCCATGGAGATTCCGAATCTGATCACGGAGATGGAGTCACTAAAGGTTCAAGAAGTGGAGAAAGTCGACCAGAAACTTGTTGATCCGTGAGTAGTACTTAATCTATGCCTTTTTAACATCGAATTTTCTCGGGAAAATTCGTCTGCTTAGTTCTTTACTTCTTTTCTATTGTTCAGAGATCTCTCCGTAAAGCATGACGACGCTGCTCATGAGCCGATGAAGCCAGAGGAGAAACCAAACGCAGCTCGCGCTTCAGCTCTTGATACCATACTCAAGGTTCTTTAATTAACATCTCTTTTCCTCGATCTGTGATTAGTGTTCGTTCTCAAGAACGTGATTTTTCTTTGTTTGCAGTCTCTCTGGAAAATCAACGTTTTCAAAAAAGCGTTGACAAGTTTCACTGAAGTAGATCAACTCCGAGATTTCATCCTCAACAATCTATCTCTCACTCATCCTATGGTGTCTCTTCTCTCTTCTCTCAATCTTTAGAATCTTTCTATGTGTTTAAGCTTATCTTCTTGTTCTTTACTCTGTTTGCAGGAATCAAACGGTGTTTATGACTTCTTGGTAACCATCTTGGAGCTTCTTCCTCGCTGGAAAACTGGAAATGATGAGGAGGAGGAGGAGGATGATGAGCCTCTTAAATCCAAGTTTGAAGTGTACGAAACACTCAGTAAGATCTGCAACAGATGCAAAATGGAGATTGAGTATCCACCAGAACCTGCTTATGGTCTAATCGTGGTTGCTAACTCACTCAGGAGAATCAAGGCAAGTCATTTGTTTCCTTGTAGCATCCCTACTGCCTTTCATGATGCTAAGAAACGTTTTTGGTTACTATCACAGTGTGCGTTTGAGGATTTGACGTTTGAGAAGATTCTTAAGGTTGAGAGAATCACATTGATGATGCCTTGTGACAAGGAAGGTTGTGGGAAACGAAGCTATGTTGAGCGTGGGATCAATACCCTTCCATCTGTTTTCACAATTGGTAAACACCTTATCAAGTTTATTTATTTCGTTATTACGAAGGAGAACTTAGTTTTTGGTTGTTTATAGCTTTAGAGTGGGAGAACAATGAGACTGAAGAAGAGATATCTGCTACCACTTCTGTTCTGGCTACTGAAATTGATATCAGTGAGATATACAAATACAAAGGTGACAGTATATTCACTAAATATCGTCTTGTCTCAATGGTATGTGTATCTAGTTCCTTAAGTTATGTTTGGGTTTTCCTATTGGAGATTATTGTTATCAGAGACCAACTCCATATGCTGTTGTGATAATAAGGTTTGCTTGTGGGGAGATCAATACAGTTGCATAGCTTATGAAAACAAAAGCTGGGTCTTACATTTTGATAACGAGAATGAGGTAAAGCAGCAAGTTTCTTGATATGGGACGTGCTTTATCTTGGGGTTTTGTAAGTTAAGCTGACTGAGGTGTGTTGCTTATACAGGTTCTTGGAGACTGGGGCGGTGTTCTCAGCAGCTTTGCTAAACTGAAGATTCGACCAGAGATTCTGTTTTTCGAAAACGTAAGCTTCTACAACTACATACTTGCTTATGTTTTTGTGTGGGTTCTCAGTTTCCACCAACTTGAATGACTTTGCAGGTGATGGGGCAGATTAAGGGGACGGACAAGATTGTGTTCGGGAGCTTGGGGGAAACATTCTAAAAGCTTTTCAACTATGCAGGAAAAGGGATTTGTTCATGTATATGCAAAACCTTAGAGCATCATCAACCCAAGCTCCTAAATTGGAGTGCTTATTCTTTGTTTAATAATTTTTAGTTGTTAAAATGGTTTAAGCACAAAGCTAAGCACCCGAACTTTTATTTGTCTTCAATGCAAGTTGCTTATTTTGAGGTTCTTAAAAAAATTTAAATTTTGGAAGAAGAATGTTTGATCATGTGTTTAGATATCTAGA